ATATCCTAGGCATCAGTGAGCTGAAATGGACTAGTTTTGACCATTTTGAATCAGACAACCATATGATCTACTATTCTGGGAATGACAAATTGAAGAGGAATGGTGTGGTATTCATCATCACAAAATATGTTTCAAGATCTATCCTGAAGTATGCTGTCAGTGATAGGATAATATCCATATGCCTACAAGGAAGACTAGTTAATGCTCCTATTATTCAAATTTATACACCAACCACCAAAGCCAAAGATGAGAAAATTGAAGATTTCTTGAGACTTCTGCAGTCTAAAATTGACCAAACATGTAATCAGGATGTGTTACTACTGGTGATTGGAATGCAAAAGTTGGAAACAAAGAAGAATCACTGGTAGTTGGAAAATATGGCTTTGGTGATAGAAATAATGCTGGAGATCGCATGATAGAATTTTGCAAGACCAACAACTTGTTCATTGCAAATACCTTTTTTCAACAATATGAATGGCTGAACAGAACATGGACTTCCCCAGATGGAATACACAGGAATCAGATTAACTACATCTGTGGAAAGAGGCAATGGAGAAGCTCAATATCTTCAGCCAAAACAAGGCCAGGTGCTGACTGTGGAACAGTCCATCAATTGCTAATATGCAGGTTCAAGTTGAAGTTGAAGACACCTAACAGAAGTCCATGAAAGCCAAAATATGACCTTGATTATATCCCTCCTGAATTTAGAAAACAGCTAAAGAACAGCTTTGACACATTGAACACCAATGACTGCAAATCAGAGGAATTATGGGATGACATCAAGAGCATCATCCATGAAGAAAGCAAAAGGTCATTAAAAAGAAAGAAAGAAAAAAAGAAAAGACCAAAATAGATGTCAAAAGAGACTCTGAAACTTGCTCTTGAATGGAGAGTAGCTGAAGGAAATGGAAGAAATAACAAGATAAAAGAGCTGAACAGAAGATTCCAAAGAGCAGCTTGAGAAGACAAAATCAGTTATTATAATGAAATGTGCAAAGAACAGGAGATAAAACCAAAAGGGAAGAACAGAAGGAAAAACTCAAGCCTTGAGTTGCAGTAGTCAAAGATTCTATGGGCAAAATATTGAATGATGCAGGAAACTTCAAAAGAAGATAGAAGGAAATAAAATAAATAAATAAATAAATAAAAAGAAGATAGAGTCACTGTACCAAAATGAATTGGTTGATGTTTATCTATTTCAGAAGGTGGCATATGATCAAGAACCAATGGTATTGAAAGAAGAAATCCAAGCTGCACTGAAGGAATTGGCGAACAATATGGCACCAGGAATTGACGGAATACCCATTGAGCTGTTTCAATAAATGGATGAAGTGCTGGAACCACTTACTCATCTATGCCAAGAAATGTGGAAGACAGCTACCTGGCCAATTGACTGGAAGAGATCCATATTTGTAAGAAAGGTGATCCAACAGAATGTGGAAATTATCAAACAATAACATTAATATCACACGCAAGTAAAATCTTGCTGAAGATAATTCAAAAATGGTTGCAGCAGTATATTGACAAGGAACTTCCAGAAATGCAAGGTGGATTCAGAAGAGGATGTGGAATGAGGGATCTTGGCTGAAAGCAAAGAATACCAGAAATATGCTTGCTTGTGTTTTATTGACTATGTAAAAGCATTTGATTATGTTGCTGTTGTTGTTGTTAGGTGCCGTCGAGTCATCTCTGACTCATAGCAACCCTGTGCACAGCAGAATGAAACACTGCCCAGTCCTGTGCCAGCCTCATGATTCTTGCTATACCTGAGCCTATCCTTGCAGCCACTGTGTCTATCCTTCTCATTGAGGGCCTTTCACTTCTTTGTGGACCCTCTGCTTTACCAAGCATAATATCCTTCTTCAGGGAATGGTCCCTTCTGACAACATGACCAAAGTAGGTGAGACGAAGTCTGGCCATTCTGGCTTCCAAGGAGCATTTCAGCTGCACCTCTTCTAGGACAGATTTGTTAGTCCTTTTAGCAGACCATGGTACACTTAGCATTCTTCTCCAACACCACAACTCAAAAGTATCAACTCTTCTTTGATCTTCCTTATTCATTGTCCAGCTCTCACATGCATAAGAAGTAATTGATGAAGTGAAAAATTTGAACAGGCCCATCACAAAAGAAGAAATTGAACAGGTCATCAAAAAATTACCAACTAAAAAAAGTCCTGGCCCAGACGG